AAAATAAGATAATAAACTTTGCCACATCGATTGACTTTTCCTTTCATGAAGATTTCTCTGTGGCTTGTGATGCTGTCTGAAAGCATGTTAACCACTTTAGAACTTCTTTCAGTCCTTTCAAACCCTGCCACTGCTTTACCAACTAAGTTTATGGAATATCCTAAATCCTTTGTTGTAATTTCAACAATGTTCACAGCATCTTCACCAGGGGTAGATCCCATCTCAAAAAACCACTCTCTTCACTCATCCATAAGAAACAACTCCTCATCCAATGAAGTTTGAACATGAGATGGCAGCAATTCAGTCACATCTTCGGGCTCCACTTCTAACTCTAGTTCTCTTGCTATTTCCACCAAATCTGCAGTGACTTCCTCCACTGGAGTCTGAAACCCCTAAAAGTCCTCTATGAGGGCTGGAATCAAATTCTTCCAAACTCCTATTAATGTTGCTATTTTGACCTCTTCCCTTGAATCACCAATGTTTTTCATGGCATCTAGAATGATGAATCCTTTCCAGAATGTTTTCACTTGACTCTGCCAAGATCCACCAGAGGAATCACTATCTATGACAGCTATGGCCTTAAGAAATAAGATGTTCTCAAATAATAAGATGTGAAGGTTGAAATTACTCCCTGACCGGTGGGCTGCCTAATAGATGTTGTGTTGGCAGGCATGAAAACAACATTAATCTCCTTGCACATCTCCATCAGAGCTCTTGGGTGACCAGGTGCATTGTCATGAGCAGTACTATTTTGAAAGGAATTTTTTTTTCTGAGCAGTAGGTCTCAACAGTGAACTTAAAATATTCGGTAAGCCATGCTGTATACAGATGTGCTGTCATCCAAGCTTTGTTTTTCAATTTGTAGAGCACAGGAAGAGTAGATTTAGCATAACTCTTAAGGGCTCTAGGAGTTTTGGAATGGCAAATGAGCATTGGCTTCAACTTAAATTGCCAGCTGTATTAGCCCCTAACAAGAGAGTCATCCTGTCCTTTGAAGCTTTGAAGCCAGACATTGTCTTCTCCTCTCTAGGTATGAAAGTCCTATATGGCATCTCCTTCCAGTAGGAGGTTGTTTCATCTGCATCAGAAATTTGTTGTTTTAGTGCATCCACCTTCATCAGTGATCTTAGCGAGATCTTCTGGATAACTTGCTTCTCCATCAAGCTTGGAGAAGTTCCAAGCTTCTCCACTTGCTGCTTCGTCTTGCACTTTTATGTTATAGAGACGACTTCTTTCCTTAAATCTCATGAATCAACCTCTGCTGACATCAGAATTTTTTTCTGAAGCTTTCTCACCCATCTCAGTCTTCATAGAATTGAAAGAGAGTTAAGACCTTGCTCTGGATTAGGCACTGGCTTAAGGGAATGTTGTGGCTGGTTTGATCTTCTATCCAGAACACTCAAACTTTCTGTATATCAACAATAAGGCTCTTTTGCTTTCTTACCTTTTTTGTGTTCACTAGAGTAGCACTTTAAATTTCCTTCAAGAACTTTTCCTTTGCATAACAGCATGGCTAACTGTCTGATGCAAGAGGCCTAGCTTTTGGCCTCTCTTGGCTTTCGGCATGCCTCACTCACTAAGCTTAATCATTTCTAGCTTTTGATTTAAAGTGAGAGATGTGGGACTCTTCCTTTCACATGAATTCTGAGAAGCCACAGTAGGGCTATTAATTGGCCTAATTTCAAAGTAGCTTTGTCATTAATGTGAATGTGAATTTTTTTCACATTTCAATGTCTAAGTAGTTATAGTTATTATTAAAAATATATATTTTTTTAGCTTGATTCACTCATTTTCCTAAATTGTCTTATTGAGATTTTTTGATTGTACAATTATATCTACAAATGATAATTTTTTTCAACATTCATAGGTTTATTTCATTTTCTTGTTTTATTTCAAAAGCTGGAGCCTGTAGAGATGTGAGGAGCAGAAGCGAGAGTGAGTGTGCCTATTTTGTTCCTGATGGTAACGCTTTGCTGTTTCACCTAGGTAGTATGCTGTTTACAGATGGTGTCTTACTAATACTCATGTTTAGGGTGTTCATTTTATTTCTACATAGTTTATCCATTTTATTCTATACCATTTAATCAGGAATGGCTGCTGAATTTTGTCAAATGCTTTTTTGCCATTTGTTGATATGTGACCCTCACTAATAATGTAAGGAATTGAAAGATTTGTTAATTCTTGAAGCATTCTTATATTTGGAATAAACCCTAGTTGATTTTGATGTGTCATTTTTTTTTAATTTCAGCATATTATGGGGGTACAAATGTTAAGGTTACGTATATTGCCCATGCCCCCACTCCCCACTCGAGTCAGAGCTTCAAGTGTGACCATCCCCCAAACGTTGCACATCTCACTCATTGGTGTGTCATTTTTAAATATGGTGTTAAATATTTCTAATATTTTATTTTAGAATTTTTTCATTAATGGCCATAAACTAGATTGGCTTGTATGTATTTTTCTTTTAACATGTTTTTTTTTTTATCATATTTTGGTATTAGGGTCATATACCATGAATTGGAATACTGTGTATCTGTTTCTGTGTTCTGGAATGATTTGACTACTGTAAAGTCATCTGTTCCTTGAAGGTTTGATACAGCTTGCCTTTAAAATCTTCTGGGCTTGACATGTTTTTAATGATAGACGGTAGATCTTTTAACAGCTTTTTTCCATTTCTTTTGTGGTTACCTGTCTATTCGGGCTTTTCTAATATTTAAGTTAAATTTAGTAATCTGTATTTTGCTAGAAAACAATTCAATTTTCTCCAGAGTTTAAAGCATATCATACTTTATTAGAATTCTTCCATATCTGTTGTTAGAATAATATTTACTATTAGTTTTGTGCTTTAACACTTTCAAACAGCATTCACATACCTCCTCTCAGGTGAGCCCTTATTCCTCGTGGATAGACGAGGAAACGGGTGAAAAGTGAGTATGCAACTTCTTGCAGGCCACGTGGCCAGGTAGAGACAGAGTCTAGGTTCAGACCCAGGACTCCTGTCTTCCCAGGCAGAGCTCCGTCCACTCTGTCCTTTTCAGCGATGTTCACCTGGGGCCCCTCCTTCTTAGGCCCTGCAGGTATGACAGGTGTAAGAATGGGCTTAGAGGTGTGACTCTACATCCAAGAGCGGTCCCTCTACTCTTTTGGTGCCAACATCCCTGGAAAGGTTTAGGGAAATGCTCCTTTACTGAGCTCTGGGAAGTGCATTTTCAACTGTTAGAATTCTAAAAAATGCATAAAATGCATCAGGAGTATCACTTTTATTTTCTAAAATGAGAAAAGAAAGGCATTCATTTACTTTGCAAGTGGTTCCAAATAGACATAAATGAAAGCTTCTGGTAACCTTTGAGTTGCAGAGGACAGGGTGGGCTTTGGTCTGTGTGTTTCTGAGGGTAACTCCAGCAGCTTCCTGTGTTCGATACGATTTCATTAACTATGAAAGACTTTATGCATCATGCACCCTTCCCTGTCATAGACAATAGCAACATATAATACATGCATTGCTGTGGAGTTGCTTAAAATAAAACATGGCCAAGTTTTAATACTAGCTGAGGGGATTAGATGTGATAATCTGGTAAAGCTCTCAGCACAGCACTGGTGCGTGGTAGGGGCTGCTATCACAGCTAATGCACAGTCATGGTGTGTTTTGATGTGGGTGGGGGGGAACCCAGCATATCTCAGAGTACACTCAGGTGCAGGGACAACTTTCATGCATGGTCACCTGGGATTCTCACCGGAGCCCCTCTCCCCTCCTGTCCCCCTTCCTCACCCATCAGGGGCTGGCTTGTTGATGCAGCAGCCACAGGCCTGGCTTTGGGAGCCTTTTTCTAGTGTCAGTAAATGGATGTATGTCAGGGCTGCTTCCCTGGCCCTGCCCACTTTCCGACCTTTGTGCCTTGCAGGAGGCTCAGGACCCAGCTGTCCCCGGTCTCTCAGGCCTGACTTTGGCGTGGAGCTCAGCTTCCCCAGCACCCCCCGCCCCGACTAGCATGAGGATCATGACCCCTGGCCATCCTCATCCTCCAGGTTGCTCACTCAGTAACTTTTCCTGGCTGGCTCTTCCTACTGTCCCATCTGTCTGCCACAGTGAGCATCATTAGATGCTGATGGTGGGGTGCAGTCCTCCTTGGGCTCCTTTTGGCCCACCTTGCCACTAGCCCTCTTGCCAGCACATAAGGAAAAAGAATCCTTCTGCCGCCCCTCTTTTCTTGCAGCCAATTTCTCCTCCCCCCAGGAAGTCTCTGAGCCCTGGCCGAGGTGCACAACCCTCATCTGAACTCCCTAGCACCATGGACAGTGCCCCCTAACACCAGGCTTCTACTGCCCAAGGAGTGGCACAGGGCGCTACCCCAGGCCAGAGGCCCACTGCTGCCATGTGGAGGTTGCTCCCAGCAGGTCCACTGCACTCCACATGGCTGCTCCCAGCAGGTCCACTGCACTCCTGCAAAGTAAGTCCCTGTGGGTCTCACACAGTTTCAGACTTCAGGAAACACTTAGCCACGGTGGGGGCTGCAGCATGATGCCATACAGTCATCCACGCCTGCCTTTTAACTTCTGACTCTCTGAGTAAATCAACTACACTGACGTCCTGAGATGAAAGCTCCACTTACCTACCCCTGCTTTCCATGACCTCCCAGAGCAGGCAGGTGCTGTGTGTTTGTTCAACAAACCAAAAGACAGACTGAAGGGGCGAATGGATGAGAGTAAAAGGTGCACCCTCCCCAGGGCCTGGCTCAGCGGGTGCAGCTCCACCTGCTGGGGTGTGGCCCTGCCCCGCTGGGCCAGCTGGCTCACTCCTTCCCAGTGGGAGAACCCGGGCTCGCACTCAGCTCAGTCTGACCTGTGACCCGATGCCATTTTCACCCGCCGCGGTGCGTTTGTCTTCTGGTTTATCTTCCCACAGCTGGGCCTCCCTGGAATTTGTCCCGGGGATGGGCCCAGAGCCAAGTGGTGATTTATTATTTCTTAAGTGGGTCAATTTTCCATTCTGTTTTGTCCAGACAGCTGATGAGTGGGCTGAGAAGATGCCCAAAGCCCCGCCGCCCAGCCCCGCCGCCCAGGTCGACAGAGACCTCCTGGCTCAGCTCCACAAGGCAGTGACTTCCCATTACCATGCCATCGCCCAGGAGTTTGAGAACTTCGACACCACAAAAACAAACACGGCCTCCAGAGATGAGTTCAGGGCCATCTGTAACCGCCACATCCAAATCCTGACGGACAAACAGGTGAGACACTCACTTAGGTTATCATCCTAACAATGTCACCTGAGCATGAGGCCGGCCATCAGCCAACTATAGGGTTTAAGATGCTCTCTGTTTTTAAAATACTTGATGTTTTATTTTGTTTTGTTTTGTTTTTAAATCTTATGGAAGACTCAAAGGAGTCTGTTTATATAACAGCTATGAATTGAGCCATTTTGATCCGGGTGCAAACAATGTCACTTTTACTTTAAAATTAAGTTAAACTCAGCTCTGGCTCCCCCTTCCGTGGATCATCTCAGGGCGTATGTAGTCCAAAGAGAGTGGCCGGTCTCTCCCTGCACCTAAGGGGGGACATGGGCCCTGGGAGTTGCCTGTCCTCCTCCCGCCCTCCCCACTCCCTTCTCCTGGCCACGTCCGGGTGCCGGCAGTGTCAGACGCTCTGGGCGCTGCTCTCAGCATGCTGGGGACATGCCCACCCCCAGTGGGCCTCTCCTCGGTGCACAGGCTGGACACAGGCCCTCTCTCTTTAAGATCCTCTTCCTCATCACAGAACTCCCACAAAGGGGTCCCCCCCAGGACTGAGCTGGGCTTTTCTTTAGCTCAAAGGCCCTAACAACCTGCCACCTGGGTGGGTCTCTTTGGCCCTTCCAAAGCCAAGGGCTCCTCCCAGTTCCAGCCGGATGGTGTCCTGAGGGACTGCCTTGCCACGGTAGCTGTAGGAGGGACGCGTTTTGGAATTGAGCCCCTGTCCATATAGACTTCAGTAAATAGTGGCACTAAACGCCAGCACCAGGGCGGTGGTGTTCTGGGTTGCTTTGTTCCTCACTGTGCCCCAAATGCCGAAACAGTACCTGGCACAGAGTGGGTGCTCGGTAAGTACCGGGGAGTGAATGGTGTCCACGTGCCCCGGCTCCCCGCCACACTTGACAGCCCAGTGGCTGAGCAGCCTGGTGACAGAACACCAGTGATCCCATTACCAAAGCGGATTGCCCTTCCCCAGAAATGTTCTGCTACAGGCCCCCTCCAGATCTCCAACAAATCAGTGTGCCATTCCCAGAGCATAATTCAGATAAGAAATAAGATCCCACAATATTACAAAGCAGCTCCATGTCCCTCCTTCCTCCTGGTTCTGCTCAGGCTTAGCCCAGGGAGCTTCCTACAGACGCCAGGTAGAAATGTCACTCTTTCACCTCTAAGCTGGGGCCACTCCAACCTCTCATCTCATTTTATCAGAGTTTCAGGGCAAGGACTTGAAAGTATTCGTATGGAGGGCTGATCACTGCATACAGCCCCCAGCCATACTGAGGCCTCTGAACTCACTGCCATAAAGAAATGCATTCGTTGAAGGCATTAAGAATGTGAACATGAAATTTAACTTTCCTAAAATATCACCTTTGTAAGACATTTTGGTGTGATAATTTTTGCTAAGCAAAATAAAGTGCTGTTTCCAAACGATTCTGTCCGTAGAGCAGCTGTCCCCAACCTTTTTGGCACCAGGGACCCAGTATCATGGAAGACAACTTTTCCATGGATTGGGGATGGGGGCCAATGGTTTCGGGATGATTCAAGTGCATCACAGTTATTGTGCAGCCAAACCTCTCTGCTAATGACGATCTGAATTTGCAGCTGCTCCCCAGCACTGGCATCACCGCCTCAGCTCCACCATCAGGCATTGGATTCTCACGAGGAGCACGCAACCTACATCCCTCGCATGCGCAGTTTACTGTAGGGTTCGCTGCTATGAGAATCTAACGCCTCCGCTGATCTGACAGGAGGTGGCGCTCAGGCAGTGATGCGAGCAATGGGGAGCGGCTGTGAATACAGATGAAGCATCACTGGCTTGCCGGTTGCTCACCTCCTGCTGTGCAGCCTGGTTCCTCCCAGGCCAGGTGCAGGTGCTGGTCCGTAGCCCAGCCCAGGGCTGGGAACCGCAGCCGTAGAGCATCAAAGCCAAGCAAGATCTATATCTGCAAATACTTCTCTCATTATAAGTGAAAGTAAACCTTTGAAATTCATACAGTTGCATTTATTATTCTTTGTGGCCAACCAATAAAGGTTTTACTAATAAAGATTTTTCATTTCATCTAGATGAGTAAAATTTTACTCTCTTTATAGAAATAAATTAATGACATGCTGACATGCCTGGCATTGATAACAGAGAATTTGATTTTAATTGTCCACCAAGAAAACTTCACCATCCCCAGCACATCAATGCCCCCCCCCAACAAAATTAAGCACTTATTTTTAAATGCTGCTTTCTAAAAATAAGCTGACGTGTCTCAAATCCAGTCTGTATCGTCGAGAGCATCAGACTCCGGCATGAGCACATCACGGTTTAAGTTGGGTGGATGATTAACAGAAATTGTGCTATATTTGGGAAGGATGTTTCTGGATATGGGCTGGTACACAGCAACATCCCCAGAGATCCACGTGTTTTCTCCTTGCATGAGTTACTTTGCCAGCGACCTTCTTGGGTGAAGGCATAGTGTCGGGTACAGTACGGCAGCAAAGTAATTTGTACTCTTAACATGTCTAGACGCCTCGTGCCATTATTCTAGAGAGTTCACTGAAGATGCTGGGACAGTTCCAACCGTATTAAATAACATTTTAACTACAGATTTCATGACTTAGTTTATCTACATCATAGAAACTTATCTCATAGTAAAAGAAAAAAAATCCAACAATCACGAATCTGAGGGGCCGCTTTCTTGACTTACTGAGCTCTGTAAGTGGGGGAAGTGCCACATCTTTTGATTCCTTTTGGTGCAATTAACCTTTCAGAGAAAGAGAGCAACTTTCAGAGCAGACGCAGTTGGAAACTGATGGGTCTTTGTGGCTCTGTAGAAAGCGTGTGATAAAAGGCTCCAAACTGGGTCCTCTTGGGTATTGGTTAAAACAATAGAGACCCGCAGCAAGAGCCTCCCCTTGCAAAGCAATTTAGATCAGTCCATAGTGATTGCGTGAGGCCTTTTAATATGCAGCCATATTAGGGAAAGGAACTGTTAAATGTTTCTGAACATTTTAGACCTGGTATCTCTAAAACAGACAACCCTAGGAAGTGAGTGACAATCGTGCTCACAGAAAAAACAAGCCTCCATGCAGGCAGACTTGCGTTTCACTCCTGCTTCTGCCCTTGTCCAGCTGTGTGACCTTGGGCAAGTTACTCAGCCTCTCTGAGCTTGTGTCTTCCCTATGAGGTAGGTTGCACAATACTCCACAGGCAACCTCCCCTCCAACCAGGCTGAAGTGCAGCCTTCCCTGCCTCTGCCCGCTGCTGCCTCCGCACCGCCCCCGCACCGTCTCTCAGTGCCTGCTCTTCCTCCCAGACTCTAGCAGAGGGAAGCCTTTCCTAACCACATCTCCACCTGGTGGAGCTGCCCACCCCGCCCCCCTTTGCCCCTCGCACCCTCTTACTGTCCCCCTCCACCCCACACCAACCTTGAGCTCTACGTCCCCTAGCGGAGCCCTTGAGACACTCTTGCGTGTCGTCAGGCGCATAGCTGTCTGTCCCGACTGTGCAGGGAGTGCCCAGAGGCCGCATGCGTCTGTGTCCTGGGGCCACAGTGCACCAGGCGGTGCTGCGAGGCCCTGGGAACCATAGCGGGTCCACTGCCCGCTCCCCTGAGCTCACACCCAGGGAGGAGAGCGAGCCATCGCCCGCCAGGTGCGCGTTGCTCATGTCATTGCGGCATGAGCGAGGGTGTAGCAGGGCCCGGGTCTGGACCGAGGGGTCAGGGGGTTTCCCTGAGGGCAGGATGTGAGGTTCCTGGGAGTTGCCTCTGAGAGGAGACAGGAGAGAGCTGGGCAGAGCGAGCATCCTGGACGCAGGAGCAGCGAGTGTGTGGCATTAGAGCCGCCGCCAGCAGGCCAGCGTGCGCAGGCAAACCCTGCACTGCGGAGTCTCTGTCCATGTGATCAGACAGTGAACAGAACAAGTAGAAGATGGAGTATGGTAGAGGAGATTAATGCTATAGAGGGCATGACAAACGGCAGGGAAGGAGGAAGATAGAGGGTTGGGAGGGGTGCGCTTGTAAACAGGGTAGTCTGTGAAGGAAGGTGACACCGGAGCAAAGACCTGGCAGCCAGGGATGGTGTCGCTGGGAGCAGGGCTTCATCAGCAAAGGGGACATGAGTGTCCAGGCCACGTGGCAGCAGTTTGAAGAATAAGAGAGAAGCCGGTTCTGTGGAGGGGGTGGGTGGTCCCTGGGGTCAGAGCAGAGCGCCGGGCGGTGTAGAACGTGAGCCCCACGGCAGGACTTGCCTTTTGTTCACAGTGACGAGAGGGTTATGGGGCCCCGGGCACAAGCGCTGTTGGTGTGGTCGACTGTCGCCCCGGCTGCCGTGTGGGGCTGCGTGCAGCTGGGCAGAGGCAGGAGGGCAGGCCCCGGGGGCAAGCAGGTGGTGCTCCTGGTGGCAAAAGAGGGGTGAGAAGGGATGGGACACGCCAGAGTTGGAGCCAGCAAGATGTGCTAATGGATGTGGGGTGTGAGAGGAAGGGGGAGCACAGAAGAGGGGAGATGGGGGGGCTGTGGGAGGGGCGGGGGCGGGGACGGGGCGGGGCGGCTGTTGGTGCCAGGCTTGGTGGGTCAGAGAGGTCCAAAGTGGATGTCCAGGGGAAGATGGGCAGTCAGGAGGCGGCGGACTGGCAGAGTCCGGAGGAGAGCCAGTCCCTGTGCGCCGGGAGTAGTTTAAGGGCAGGAGTGTAGGTGGAGAGGGGAAGGGCAGAGTCTTGGGCCTCCCAGTGTTGAAAAGTCAGGGAGGGACCAGAAAAAGGGACTGAGCAGCCACTAATAGAGTGGGAGGAGACCTGGAGCAGCTGTGGGCGTGGCTCTTTCGTCAGTTCACGTGTGTCTGTGTGTGTGTCCTTTGATGAAAAAAACGCTTTAGTGTGATCAAGTGTCTCCATCTTTCCATTTACCGTTTCCATTTTGTGCTCTGGTAAGAAATCCTTACTTATCCCGAGATGATCTTTATTCTCTTCTAAAGGTTTTTAAGTTTTCCTTTCTGTGTTTCTAATACACCTG